AATGCAATTGGTTATAATAAACTTCTTGCAGAAAATTTACTACCTTATATTAATGAATTAAGAGAGGAGAATCGTGGCGGTGGTGGTGGAGGATAATTGTAGGCGAATGAAAGAGTTGGTGAGGTGGCTGATGAAATAGGTTCACTTGATGAATTGTCATCACAAGGATGATAATTATTATAAGGAGCAAATGGTGGACCTTTATCAAACTCATTTGTTGTTAACAAGTGAGGAGATGATTCGATTGAAGAGTTGTGATCGATATCAACCAAACCATAACCATAACCATTGTTACCGCTACTATTGCCATTATTATGGTTATTTCTATCATCGTCACAAAATTCGGTTTTGATTGGAACACCTTCATATGATTGTTGCTGAATAGGATGGTGAGGGTGATGATGATGACTCGCTTGCGAATATAAAGGAGATAAAGGAGATGTAGATCCAGATGATATTGGCAATATAAATTGTGACTGTTGATAACTGTTTAATATGAACTCTTCTTCTCCTTCTTGTTTAGAATAAAATTCAGATTTAATAATCGTTTGAGAACTATTAGCATCCAAATAACTATTATTACCATTATTATTCATATTGATTTGATCATTGCCACAAAATGTATTATCTACCAAATTGGAGTTATTACCATAAGTTGGAGATTGAACAAAAGGTAGATTGGTAATATAATTATTATGATGATTGCTTCCAGCAAGAGTAGTCATAATTGAATTTGTTGTTTTAATAATAATAAAATAATAATAATTGTGGAGGTCGCAAAAATAAAAATAATAAGAACAACAACAATAATACAACAACAGCAATCATCAACCCTGAAAATACAGCAGTATCAGCTGTAGCGGATAATAAAGGCTGTAGTAATGCACAACAACAAAGATCAACACCACAATCTTCTACGACATCATCTGTTCAAAATAATCAACAAGTGATTAAATGCCCACAAGCAAATTGTCCAAAAACCTTTACCCGGATGTATAACCTTAAAGCACATCTTAGATCTCATTCACCAGCACGTCCTTACCAATGCACAATGTGCCCAAGATCTTTCTCAAGAAAACATGATCTTCAACGACATATTAGAGTTCACACTGGGGTCAAACCTTATGTTTGCCCATGTTGTCATAAGGCTTTTGCTAGAACAGATGCTCTTCGTAGACATTTCAAAATGGAAGAGACCTGTAGAAATTCTCCTGAAGTTCAAAATATGAAAACTAGAAAACGATATTCAGATTTAAATTGATTTAATTTTTCAGAAAAATATTTTAAATCATAAGTAGAGTTAATTAGGTTGATTTAAATTTTTTTTTAATAGTGAAAAAAAAAACGCTAATTTTTTTTCCTATTTTTTATTTTTTTTCGGTTTAATCACTTTGTAAATTTCAAATTTAGTATATAATATGTATATATAAATATTCTTTACGGGACTATTATATTTTATATATATGTATATATACACCAACTCACATATTCACAATACGCATTTTTTAATATATTCGTTAGAATTTTATTTCCATCATAATACTCTATATGAACAATTAT